AGAATTTTAAAGACCGAGAATCTTATTTAATTTCTACTGAATTTCTCTCATCAAAATAATTTAATAGTAATTTTGAATTGAATATTTAGCATTAAGCAACTTCAATCAGAATCATTGCCGAAAACGCTTGGAAATATGAAACGTAAAAAATTCCTTGGAAATAGCGCACGACAGAAGTGCACTTCATCAATTTCAAATCCCAAGTCATTAACTGGTAAAAGGTTAATTAAATGGATTCTCCTCCTACCTTAGAGAGAGAGAGACGGGAAAAGTGTTTGGAACCAGTTTTTACTACGTACACATGATGCATCAACGTTGCCTCTTTGTAAATATTGAATTCAGGTATGTGTAAGTCGTTCAGGCCCTCATTGGCTCCATCATTCGCATTGTTAAGAACTCTGGCGCGGATTCCCACACGAGCAGCGAGCTTTGTAAAATGGGCGAGGGAGTTCTCCCTCGATGCCATGATGAACTTTTTGAGTCCAAACGTCTAAAAAGCGTTGAAATGTAAAATTGTTGCCAAGTGGTTTTTGCTGGCTCGGGATGTCCAGAGTTGCCATTCCTGCATCCATCTAACGGTAGAAGATCAAATTCCCCTCGGAGCAAATGCTTCCATTCGACTCAGTCTAAGATGCCTGCACGAGCCTATACCTAATCAAAAGACTTGGACAAGGACCGTGTATCTATCACAAAAAACCCAAAACTTGTCATAGAAGCGTTGCATTGGATGATAAAGTTATTCGCAGTACGTGCACGACTCTTTGCCCTGTTTCCAGGCAACCCACGAAGTCACGATTGATCCATATATGCATCAAACACCCGGATTGGCTACCAATTATCTTGCGAAACTCCCAAGGCAACCATTGCCTCTGTGAGAGCGCATGACACAATCATATTCCTGCCCATCAGTTTGACAGTAAGAGATTCTGAGAAGAGGAAATCTGGAAGTGCAACAGTTGAGGATCGTCACGGAAAGACGAAAATTCTTCGGTTGGAAACTCAACCGAGAGGAATATATTTTATTGAGATTGGGAGAGTCGTGGTCGCCTTGAGGCACCGAATTCAAACGCCAGATACGCTTCAGAATGCACGTTGGATGAAAAGTTTCGCCATTCTACGATCGTCGTACCATCTGACTATGCGACTAGACGGCTTTCAGAGCCATTGTCTGATTTCTTCTGGAGCGACTCTCCGGTGTTTCCCAAGTTCACATTACAAGCCTCTGATTTAAAGACTATTTATTGGACTATACACTGCTTGAATCAAATCCGGCTCGTTGAAAGTTTCAATGATAGCTATTCAAGGCGACGTTTTTAATGAAACGACATATCTCAATGGAAGCAAAAATGATTTTTTTTAGCTTAACCGTCCTCGGATAGGCAGCTCTCCTAGTTAAGAAACGGTTATAGACCATCTGTTCAAGATGGATGGTCAAGAAGGATTGTTTTTTCTCTCTCTCAAAAGCAAGGATACAGAAGGGGAAGAAAATCTGGCTGCAATTAACAATTTCGGATTTTATTTTTCCCAATAGGATTTTTCACATTCGCCCGATACGTCCTGTGTATTTCTTAGACAGACACTTTTCTTGGGTCCTTTAATCAACAAGTGTGGGTGGGCCTGTTGGACGGAAATAAAAAATTCAGGAATGCTGACTGAATCAACGCTCTGTTCTCAAGGCAACCCTACCATCTCAAGGCGTTAGACATTCACTTGAGAGAAAGGCTTATCCTTATTTCCCTCATATTCTGAGTTTTGGTATTTTGATCGCGTCGGATAATGACATTACACGTGTATGAGTGCTTTTGACATACGGTATGCAACAAACGTTGACAATCAATTCGGTACTCAGCTTCTCGATAATACATTGACATAAATCAATGGATCTCTTTGGAGATGTACATCGTAACAGTCTCCCTCAATAATAGTCTTGTAAGGAATCCCTCAATATTGCTACCGTATCAGCGGTACATTATTAGTATTGGAATTTCAGTAGTATGTTAGGTGTTCTCAATAGGGAAATGATTGCGTCGCCCATGAAGATTAAGAACGGATTCACCACAAGAGAGTATGGCATACCAAGGGCGAGAAAGACGGTGACCCAGTATGGATCTCCAAAGGTATATTTCACCTGGGGTCGATACCGAGGGACGAGTGCTGCCCATCGAAGAAGAGGAAGTCATCTTGAAAAGAGGGCGAAGCACTTGCACCTAAGGATGAACATGCTACCACCAAGGGTGCTGGACCCCTCGGTGAGCATTTTCACCCTAGTTTCAAAGCGATCATCATCATCCCTTGCGTGGCTGTCCTGTGACAAATCATGCACGCCCTAAAGGGTGCGAGATCTCGCCTTCATTGTTTGCCTCGGCAAGAGAATAACGGGCCTTCATGGGCAATTTTTTTTAAAAAGAGGTTAAAGAGTGAAAAATATGCCCATTTAGAAATAAAAAATCAGCCTGCTTGAAAGAAGTGATATATCTGGATTGGGCATCTCAACACGTACGGGAATTAGTCCGGAGAGTCTAATCTAAAGCCATAACTATCGATCTTCTACTATCTATCGAGAGCCATGAATGATTGAAAGTCACCAACAAGAGGGGCATGGATACTATTTGCATGGACGACCACATAATACCCCAGAGAGAAATGAAATATTAAAGGCGATAGCGACTCGAAAAAAAATGGCTTGCTGACGTTGTCCCCATTCCGTGTGTAGTTGCGGGGAGGGTTTCGTGAGAAAAAAGATGGAGGAAATGCTGTAAATACAGGTGAGACGCTCCTGCGAAATGTTGGCACATTACTTGAAATGAGAGTTAGGCCTCGACTCCACACGTCAACTTGGACGTAAATAATGTTTTCATGCCCTAACCCATTCCAAGAATCATCGATCTACAATATGTAACTGCGAATATCAATATCAATTACTGGAAGTAGTTGCCCCTTCCCCCACCTTTCATCGACACTAAATACGGTTTTTCCAAATTTCTCTCATGTCTCGAAACTGTACTTCCGTTTTCAAAACTATTTGAACAAATCCCAAATATATCAATTACTGGAAGTAGTTGCCCCTTCCCCCACCTTTCATCGACACTAAATACGGTTTTTCCAAATTTCTCTCATGTCTCGAAACTATACTTCCGTTTTCAAAACTATTTGAACAAATCCCAAAACTCCGCAAACTTTTCACAAAACTTGACATCCGATTTCATTGCTGAAGTATGAAAAGCGAATCTCGAAGCGCGTTTTTCATATCTTTCAGTGCCTTTTTCGAAACCAAAACGTACGGAAAAGGATAAGAAGACCGATTCGACGAGTGCGGACTATGGCTGACGACGACATACTTTATCCTCCCAAAATCATTTCCAACCGATCAGAGGTTTTCTCATCGTCCAGAGTCGCCAGAGCGGAATGCTCCTTCTCAAACGTTGAAATAGTTTCTCGCGTCGATACAGCAATGTAGTTGGCAGGCGATAATGCCGATTGCTACTCAGTAAAAACCAAAATACCCGATCCTGAGAATTTACTTACGATTAATTTCTGTTACAATATGATCAGCTGAAATGGGTTGAAAAGGGAATTGTAGCCCGTGTCCAACCTAGCCAGTCATTTTATGATCTTTTTTGTTTATAATTGGTTACAAAAATGTTTTGACCTGTGACCCATTTTTGTTCGTAGATATGAGTGTTCGTTGCAAAAATCTCACGTTATGATCTCAAAATCTTTCAAACTTGTGCTCGCTCTATTGGCTCGTTGAGGGGTTTTCGACCGGGTACAACGCCCTGCTCCCTTTTCAATGACGACACAAGTCAATTGACTTCTCAAAATAGCAGTCTGACCTCATTAGGGTGTAGTAAGATGGTAATGGGCCCGGCGGGCAGAAACCGTGATCTGTTGTGGAGCAGATATTTGCAAGAATGGGAGGGGAGAAATCTATGACTAGATACTTAAGCGAGAAATATACTCTCTGACTCTCTAGATACTTAAGCGAGAAATCTATGACAAGAAGGAATACCAAAGGTCCCGTACATTTTATGCATTTTATCGCATGACGTTAGTTTGAGCTTTTAAAAATAAGGGAAACCGGTTAAAGTGTCTCTTTCTGCTTCTATTCCGGCCTCCCAAAGAGATATTGTAACCGGAATGCATATTGAGATTAGGAGAATCTTCAGAATATTTATTTTCACGGTCTCTTCTTGACTGTCCCCAGACATTCCTTACCCCGTACGTTAGAATATTGAAGAGCATACGTTGATTTTGATCAAGGGACGCACTTTTGACTGTCGGACGCATGGATGTGCGAAAAGAGCGCAGAGTTTTGCGGATTGTACGTTAGGTTTTGAAAAATGTCCATAAAGATATGAAATAGGGCACTAGCAATTGGAAAAAAAAACTGTAAGAATCGGGCAGATGGTCGAACTCGATCGACGAGGAAACTGTTCAACGCCCGATTCATGTGCCTCCTTCCTATCGATGAGACAAACATGTATGTAGTATGAAGATAGGAATCATCGCGTATGGAGTGAACGTTGCTTCTTCATGACATATTAATAATTCCTTTCGCTTTGCGTCTGTAACAGGCCTTATCACCTTGGAGACATGGGCATGGAGCTCTGCTCGGGAAGAATTCATGTCTGGGTCTTCTTTCGGGAACGAAAATGCGTTATTGCACTTCCTCCGGGATAATAAAAAAAAATCTAAAACGGTTTGCGTCAAATATCATGGCATACGAAGACGCAAAAACCATTCACTACAATCTTTGAAACCACAAATTCTGCGTCGCGTGACTGAAAGATGAGTCACCCGAATTTTTCATCTTTGAGTGAGGCATGCAACACGAAATGAATCATTTTCACCCTTCTACAGTAATATGATTGCCTGCAGGAGATTGCTTTGCGGAGAAGCGGACGATTGGGACGGTTGGACTTGGTGAAATCTCCTAGATACGAGGTTGCAGGTTTCTATCGTGCCGACCGACCGGAATGGACGACCCGCGCTGACGAAAGATGTTACGTTAGCCTTTCCCAAGAGACTAGGATGTATGCGCTGTGCGAGCCGCTTTCTCTCTACTTGGTAGGCGAACGGGAACGGGGGAGGATGCAGCTGCTGCTCTGGTTCCTCGTTTGGTTCGTATGGAGGGCGATGGGGACCATCACGACTCAGCAGTTCTTCGCCCCCCAGAACTGGAACATGAAGATCACGTCGCCGATTCGAGAGCTTCTTGTTCTTTCGGAGCTTCAGTGCGCCATGGCTTGCAAGCAGTGAGTCGCTCGCGACTTTTCTCTGGATAAATGCCCTTTGAAGTTCTCTATAATTAAGTGGTTGAGGGCTGTTCGAGTTTCACAGCGCCGTTTCTCATAGGAAACATCTTCCACACTTAGATTTTGAAACACGTGGACGTGGCTTTAGGCGTAAATCAACTTGACGGAGGATATCCATTTGCTTAAAAATCCACCCACCGAAGATATCCACATGATTCGAAGCACACCTACGCGAATGAGCAACCGGTTATCCACCAACTGGGACATCCACCTAGTTCCAAACGCATATCGTATCTACCCTGCCTTTCAGCCCGGTTGGACGCAGGTGCCCCTTTTTGCAAGGGTCGCGTAGACATACAGTATAAGGAATTCAGGATTGAACCAACTTTCCGGGAACTTTAACTGGTTCTTAAGCTTGTGGCTTTCCATTTTTCATCTGCGAAAGCCAGATCCCTCGTTCGCTCACGGAGTTCTTGTATTTTATTGCTTTAAAATTAAGGAAAACCTCTTTCTTGGATAAAGTAAGAAATCCTTCGAAAGCTGAATAAATAAAATTAAAAATTTGTTTCAAGCTGTGGAATTAATCAAATTGAGAAACTCTAAAATTAACGAAAATTGCATTTCCTCATGGAATGCGCAACCAAAATCGGACCTTCTAGTCATGCGCAATACTGCTCATTGCTAAAACGTTGTAATCCATCTTTTCATTGAAGCTCCTGGAGTCAAGTATATGATGCCGACGTCCTTGCTTGTAATTAATGATTTTAACATTGATTTTTTTTATTGCCTTGCTTCGTGCGTTATGTTTCAAAGTAATCATCGTGTCCGTAGACGTTTCACAAGCATTTGGATTGTTCTCTGAAAAATGGCCGGATTTAGCCTAATGCCTGGTCATATTTCGCCTCTGATGGAGGTAATATGTCCTCTCTGGACTAACTTGGAAGGGGTTTAATTTTGCAATGACCATTCATTTTTGCTTGAATGTGCCTTGCTGCGACTGAGTGATGGGGAAATAATGTATGTTTTGGAAAGGATGTAGCAATGATTCGACTTTTTTGGCCATTGAAGCCAGGACTCCCTTTTCAGGGTCGTATTCCTCCAAATTAACTCCATACCAGAGATAAAGTTGAACATGGACGTAAAGTTCTTCTGCTACACCACTCAAAGCAAGCAGACGCAAACGAACAATCCATGTAATGGGTTAAATAGAATCTCAGCAATCGTTGTTCTTTCAGGAACTCCACGTGCTTGAGTTACTCCGTGACACGCCATTCCGGGACTTTCACCTGCCGCTTCGGATACCGATACGACGAGCTGAGGACTGCCGACGCAGATAGCAAGTTCTTCTACAGAGATGTGCCGGCTGGTGCATTTTGCATTTTTAAATCCTCAAAATTTTCCTGTCGGGGAATCTTTGGAAGGGCGAATGAAGGAGATCCGCCTTTTCTATTTTAAATTGTCTGCAATTTTTTTCCCGTTGTAATTGGCCGCCAAAGGAATCAATTTGAGTCTGTTGCATTATTTTGATACCGTCATGGCAAGAATGGCGTCATTCACTTTCTCCTATGCACACATTTCAATCCATTTATTTTAACATTTCCCTGACGATTCAGCCTCGAAAACGTCCGGGTCCCCCAAACTATGGGAATTTCACGTTGCTACTGAATGATGTAGGAACACAAAAATGAATTTTGATGGGTGGATATATTTATTTTAAGAGAATCCTTCTTCTTAAATAGTTTCGAGTGTTAGTCTCTAAACCATACCGTTGAGTAAAACGCAAAATGATTGACTTCTCCGGAAGGGTTCAACCTGGTGCCAGGTACGAGACGTTACGTGAAGATGACCGTGAAAAGCATCGTCGGTTATGACGCGGCGACTATGTGCAAGAATGAAGGCAGCCTACTGGTCTCCTCCACTGACGACGCGGTGCACGACTACACGAAGCAGCTGTGGGCCAATCGACCGTCTGGGAGCAATTTCGTGGTCGGTGGGGTGAGCATCACGAACCAGAACACTTGGATATTTCCGGATGGTGAGTCTCCTTTCGTGGCCTTCGCGTGGCGATCCCAGATCTCAGACACTCATGCATGTGAGCGATGACTCGAAAATAATTTCACCAACTTCATCATGCTCTGGGAAGAGGGGTACCCACTGTGGCATTGGGCCCCCAAACATCGAATAAATTCTGCATGCNGAATGATGTAGGAACACAAAAATGAATTTTGATGGGTGGATATATTTATTTTAAGAGAATCCTTCTTCTTAAATAGTTTCGAGTGTTAGTCTCTAAACCATACCGTTGAGTAAAACGCAAAATGATTGACTTCTCCGGAAGGGTTCAACCTGGTGCCAGGTACGAGACGTTACGTGAAGATGACCGTGAAAAGCATCGTCGGTTATGACGCGGCGACTATGTGCAAGAATGAAGGCAGCCTACTGGTCTCCTCCACTGACGACGCGGTGCACGACTACACGAAGCAGCTGTGGGCCAATCGACCGTCTGGGAGCAATTTCGTGGTCGGTGGGGTGAGCATCACGAACCAGAACACTTGGATATTTCCGGATGGTGAGTCTCCTTTCGTGGCCTTCGCGTGGCGATCCCAGATCTCAGACACTCATGCATGTGAGCGATGACTCGAAAATAATTTCACCAACTTCATCATGCTCTGGGAAGAGGGGTACCCACTGTGGCATTGGGCCCCCAAACATCGAATAAATTCTGCATGCACCTAACAATATGGATTTAAAAAATGCAAAAACATAAAAACGCCTCATTTTGACTTATTAACGGATTCTCATCGCTGTTATTCATACTGTATCACTTCTCCCATTAGGAATTCACGTACCATCTTCATGCATCAGCCTTATGCTTCGTTTCTCTATTTTTTGTCAATCAAAACGAAGAACAATTTCATAGTGCCTTTAAATATATCATTTCGTCATTGCTTTGCTACTCCTCGGGCTTTCGACATGTTTTCTTTGTGAGTCTTCATTCTTGGCCTATGAAATTCTAATGGATTCATTAGGAAACTGCTACGAGCTTGAGTAGTACTTTTTCCAATATTTTATGTTGGAGCTCCTATTTGACGATGAGGGTATATTGTTGAGAGTATAGATTATTAGTGAAGCGTGAATACGAACTATTTCTCTGCCAAAAATTATCCTCTCTTCGAATGTGGAATCAAATAATTTTTTCCAGAGGACTCATGCGTTGGCACGCGTGAGCACACACACACAAACAGGCACTAAACTACGTATTAGGAATTGACCTACTATCCGGTATTGATAGTACTAGGTGCAGACGAAGTCTGGACAAGCCAAAATGAAAGAAATTAGATTTAAAAAATGCATCATTTTTTCCTCATGCACACACACACCCATATATACACACCCACAAAAGAAATTAGATTAGAAGTGCCAAAAAATTCTCGAAGCGTCAGGAAAATATTGTGAGAATTGGAATTTCTTCCCAATTATTGAATCTCGAGATGGATGTGGCACTTTCCAACGGGTAAAATTGTCTCTTTTTTTTTAAGGAAAACCAACTAAACCTGATGCAGGCGCGCATATGTTGGCAACAGTAACGCATTACACGTTTTACTCAATGGTTGAGAGATTTAGAGAATTTTTTCCCAGGAACCGTGACCTATGTTTGGTCCATGGACTGAAGCTATAGGGTAATTTGGGGGAATATGGCCCTACAAAATGAAACCTGGTCATCACGGCCCATCAAGGCCGAATTTGACTTTTACAATTTTTCTAAAATATTGATAGACATCTCCTTTACTAAATCCCAGCAAGGCATATGTAAAAAACCCATGGATCCTAGGATCTTTTTCGAGTTGGTCCCAAGAAGCCATATTACCCCTATAGTTGGGGAATATGGCCACATCTGAAAAAACAACTCCAGGTTTTCCAGGAACATGCTGAGTACCTTGTGAAATATTCTGGAACATGCTGAGTACCTTGAAACGTAATAAAGAACTCTCAGCAGTTGAAAAAGAAACACTAACTGCATTGAGGACAAGCAAAGAAGCCGATATCCTTCCATGACTCGAGGATCCTTTGAGGAAAGCAGGATTGCAACGCTTTTGCTATTGAGTAACACTGCACGTGAGTATGGGACTATACCTGGAGACTGCGTGTAAGAGAAATGATCAAACAGATTAAAGTGAACATGCGCCATGAGTGTAAAATAAGAAGTCTTACATTGCCGGAAAAAGTAGTTGCGTAATTTTTGCACGTAATAATAAATGGTGCCAAAAAATCACAGTAAACCTTTCTTGTACGCAGGATATTTCCTTGCATTCAACTTTCGTGCAACGAAAATTTATTGAGAATGTCAAGCTATGCGGACGTGCAGGAGGAGGTGCTTGAGAATATTCTCATGTACTGCTTATTTCGTCCAGATGTGCAGTACGTCTATCCATATATCCAGAGGAAGTGCATTGGATGTTCTTTTGCAGCCTGAGATCTCACATGAAAGGAAGCTGACACTGTCAATCGGTCAGGTCGGTGCTAGCATGAAATGAAGGATGTGTCCATATTACCCCAATTCGAGATTCCCATATTCCCCTATATTGGTTTGCATGACAAAATTGACAAATTGATNGACTTCTCCGGAAGGGTTCAACCTGGTGCCAGGTACGAGACGTTACGTGAAGATGACCGTGAAAAGCATCGTCGGTTATGACGCGGCGACTATGTGCAAGAATGAAGGCAGCCTACTGGTCTCCTCCACTGACGACGCGGTGCACGACTACACGAAGCAGCTGTGGGCCAATCGACCGTCTGGGAGCAATTTCGTGGTCGGTGGGGTGAGCATCACGAACCAGAACACTTGGATATTTCCGGATGGTGAGTCTCCTTTCGTGGCCTTCGCGTGGCGATCCCAGATCTCAGACACTCATGCATGTGAGCGATGACTCGAAAATAATTTCACCAACTTCATCATGCTCTGGGAAGAGGGGTACCCACTGTGGCATTGGGCCCCCAAACATCGAATAAATTCTGCATGCACCTAACAATATGGATTTAAAAAATGCAAAAACATAAAAACGCCTCATTTTGACTTATTAACGGATTCTCATCGCTGTTATTCATACTGTATCACTTCTCCCATTAGGAATTCACGTACCATCTTAATGCATCAGCCTTATGCTTCGTTTCTCTATTTTTTGTCAATCAAAACGAAGAACAATTTCATAGTGCCTTTAAATATATAATTTCGTCATTGCTTTGCTACTCCTCGGGCTTTCGGCATGTTTTCTTTGTGAGTCTTCATTCTTGGCCTATGAAATTCTAATGGATTCATTAGGAAACTGCTACGAGCTTGAGTAGTACTTTTTCCAATATTTTATGTTGGAGCTCCTATTTGACGATGAGGGTATATTGTTGAGAGTATAGATTATTAGTGAAGCGTGAACACGAACTATTTCTCTGCCAAAAATTATCCTCTCTTCGAATGTGGAATCAAATAATTTTTTCCAGAGGACTCATGCGTTGGCACGCGTGAGCACACACACACAAACAGGCACTAAACTACGTATTAGGAATTGACCTACTATCCGGTATTGATAGTACTAGGTGCAGACGAAGTCTGGACAAGCGAAAATGAAAGAAATTAGATTTAAAAAAGGCATAATTTTTTCCTCATGCACACACACACCCATATATACACACCCACAAAAGAAATTAGATTAGAAGTGCCAAAAAATCCTCGAAGCGTCAGGAAAATATTGTGAGTATTGGAATTTCTTCCCAATTATTGAATCTCGAGATGGATGTGGCATTTTCCAACGGGTAAAATTGTCTTTTTTTTTAAGGAAAACCAATTAAACCTGATGCAGGCGCGCATATGTTGTCAACAGTAACGCATTAAACGTTTTACTCAATGGTTGAGTGATTTAGAGAATTTTTTCCCAGGAACCGTGACCTATGCTTGGTCCATGGACTGAAGTTACGGGGTAATTTGGGGGAATATGGCCCTACAAAATGAAACCTGGTCATCACGGCCCATCAAGGCCGAATTTGACTTTTAAAATTTTTCTAAAATATTGATAGACATCTCCTTTACTAAATCCCAGCAAGGCATGCGCAAAAAAACCATGGATCCTCGGATCTTTTTCGAGTTGGTCCCAAGAAGCCATATTACCCCTATAGTTGGGGAATATGGCCACATCTGAAAAAACAACTCCAGGTTTTCCAGGAACATGCTGAGTACCTTGTGAAATATGCTGGAACATGCTGAGTACCTTGAATAATATAGAACTCTCAGCAGTTGAAAAAGAAACACTAACTGCATTGAGGACAAGTAAAGAAGCCGATATCCTTCCATGACTCGAGGATCCTTTGTGGAAAGCAGGATTGCAACGCTTTTGCTATTGAGTAACACTGCACGTGAGTGTGGGACTATATCTGGAGACTGCGTGTAAGAGAAATGATCAAACATAGATTAAATTGAATATGCGCCATGAGTGTAAAATAAGAAGTCTCACATTGCCGGAAAAAAAGTTGCGTAATTTTTGCACGTAATAATAAATGGTGCCAAAAAAAAACATTAAAACCTTTCTTGTACGCAGGATATTTCCTTGCATTCAACTTTCGTGCAACGAAAATTTCTTGCGAATGTCAAGCGATGCGGACGTGCAGGAGGAGGTGCTCCTCTTATAAGAGTACATGACGAATAAAGCAGGTCTACACGTCATGCAGATAGGTATATAGGTCTCCTTCACGTAACCTACAAGAAAACGTCGGACTCTAGAGTGTACTTTCCTTCGACTGTGACAGTATCGGTCAGGTCGGTGCTAGCATGAAATGAAGGATGTGTCCATATTACCCCAATTCGAGATTCCCATATTCCCCTATATTGGTTTGCATGACAAAATTGACAAATTGATAAATTGAGTCTGCAAACCGTAAGTGAAGGAGCTAGCAATTTGCACAAGCAGTCTGGAGAGACCATAGAAGAACTTTGAAGGAATAGTTTCTATATTCATGCTGCTATTAGGAAATATACGCTTAAGTTGCTCAAGGCGCATTTTAGTTTCAGGGTCATGAGTCAAAAAATCGCATCAATACGACTTTCACTACATCGATGTGTCCCGAATTCTTGTAGGAACTGGATCAATGAACAGGTCTAAACTTTCCGACAATTGCATGTACTCTTCGATAGAACTATTTTTTTAATTCGCAGAAACTTATTCAGTCTGTAGGGGGATTCATTGCGAAGGACCATATTACTCCAATGGCCATATTCCCCCAAGTTACCATTTTACTCAACTTACTGTTCAAAAGAACATTTTAATTCCTATAATGTTAATTTTTTCTTGTGTTTTCGACAACCTATTTCTGGGAATTGAACAGCTATCTTTTTCTAGTAATGCTGAAGGACAGCGACATCGCTTTTGGAAACGTATCCATCAAATTAGACTATATACATCATATCTATCCTGCCGTCTTCAGTCTCTCTCTCTCACTCATACATAGATTTTGATTTTCTGCAGAGATAAATCGCTTTTGTGTGATGTTTTTGTGATTGGTGCATTGATTTGCGAATCCAATTCACTCTCTCCACGAAGCTGATGCGGGATCTTCCTTAAGTAGTTCCGTAGCACACAGCCGGGATGACTCACAACAGCCATACATTCGCCATCATCCTCTTTTAGAAAGCCTAGCTTAATCGTGCATATGCCAGTTGGTAGGGCTACACCTCAAACATTTCAATTGGGTTCGAGAAAAGATAGTAAGATCTGTACCACTTCATTAAGTTAGCTTGAGTACCTGTAACAATAAAAGGATCAGCTACACGGAGGTTACTATAGGTAATGCAGTCTTACATCACGATCCCAGTGGATAGCTCTTTGCCTAGCACAGTCGGTTCCTCAAAATAAAAGGCCAATTGGGCTGTCAGCAAATCCATTTCGCTTGACACTTTAAAGCCCATCATACAATCTAAAACTAATAATGAATAAATAAATAAGTAAAAGACAAAAGAATACCAGACCCTGTCACATACCGAGGTGTGGAATAAATGAGTCTTAGGTCATAAGGAGGAGTTTGGTCATGACAAATATCAGCCATGGAAAGGCGCTTGGCCGTGAACGAGCACTATATTAAATTACAGTTCCGGTGACACCAGACAGCATGAAGTTAGACTATTGCCATCGTGGGCCTATGGGATATCCGGAGTCTATAGGTACCATATCACATGAGGTTATTCCTTGCCAGAGATTCCCTTGAACTTGGAATGACTCACTTTTGACAATGAAGAGAACTCACGTAGAAGAGAAGGAAGCAGGCAGAGAAAAACAGAAACAAGCTGGCACGGAACATCCACTGCGGGCACGGTTAGGAAAACAGTGCTTTGGATCAAGTTTTGTCCCATGGAAAGGATATATCCATGGATGCTAAGGAATCAGTGCAATTGATTTCTTCGCTCTATATCCGATCAATGCTAGCGTGGACAGATATAGGTACGGCGAAGTGGTATTGTCGGTGCTAAGTATTGAACCTTAGTTTGCTTAGCTTACGTTACTCCGGTTTGAATTGTATTAACGTTATCTTAATCAGGAAATGTCGAAATGACGCAGTCACGACAAGTGAACCAAAATGTCTTCAAATTTACCCAGATTAACCCATATTGACACATTGTCTTTACGACCCTGTCTGACCTATAGTCACTCATTGACTTCACTTAAGCCAAATTACCATCCACAGCCCGAAGTTCAATGAATTTGAGAATGACCCGAAGTTTCCGTCAAGAGTAACCCAAGGTGACACAGATTTACCCAAACCGATTAACCCTACTTGATTCAAATCATTCTGTGACATGACGATCCTGTCAGTCCATTTAAAGTAAGTTAATTATTGGTGGTAAGTTTAACTGGTGACCACTGATTTTCTGATACGCGTTTGACACAATGAGAAGGAGCTTGTGAAATCTACACGTTAAACGTCATTTTCGACACCGAATTAAATTTAGGTAGGCATCTTTCCCATGTACAGAGGCGATGCAATGATGCTAAAAAATTTAAGGGCAATCCAGTGCACCTAATAACGTATGCATGCTATTCCTTGTTCGAAGTTTGCCGTTTTCAGCACACTGAACCTTGTAAGATACAACCGGATCGATTGAAACCGTTTTTCTCTTTTGCTTTCCAGACACCAACCTGACCGTCACCGGGGTAGGTGAAGCTGGCTTCTGTTCCACCGAACCCAATGGTGGCGTTCCTGGCTATTGCCTGCACTTTTGGCTTCACGACCCCGTTCCTTGCTGGGCCGACTCTCCTTGCAGCGGAAACTATGACGGATACATCTGCGAAATCAAAGTGCCGAATTGATACGGACCCGAGGAGCCCCTTGTCTGGGGACAAACGCGAGACGAAATCTGTTCTGGTCGTTGATCGACGAATTCCGAGCACGATGTTCTGGTTACTTTTCACGTTCTTGCGCGCATTGCACATTCTATTATTATTCGTATTATTGCAATATCATCCGGGCTTAAAAATTCAGACATAAGCCATAACAGGGAATTTTCACTGGAGAAAATTCCAGTTCGAAAGTTCCTTATACATTGATAACGCATTCAGAGTAAATTCGAGAAAGGCATTTTGTAAATTCTACTTGGAGAACCAATAATGGTCTCCACCATCTCAGATTGATTAAAGTTGTGAATAAATGCTAGCAATGCCAAGCTTTGGAGTTGAGCGCGTGCAGCGCCATGCAAGAACGGCGTGAGCCCAGCTTTTTGCCCAATAGAAACACTCGAATGCGAATACAAAACACGAGACGCATATAAATGCTTCGCAAAGATTTTGCATATCCGTCACTCGTCAACCTCAGCCCGTCATCAAACACCGTGCCAAGAGCGTATAATTCACATCTGCTTCATAGTTTTCACAGGCGGTTTATACCCGATTCGCCTGCATGTATTGCATC